GTATGTGCTTAGACAGTATATACATATGTATGTATGTATGTATGTATGTATGTAGGTATGCATGTATAACACACACACACACAAACACACACACACACACACACAAACACACACACACACACACAACACACACACACACACACACACACACACATCCACTTGTTTATGAAAAGGCCACGTAAGCTTCCGACATCGGCGCTGCGGGAGCTGTGGGAAGAGGTGGCTTTCTGAGTCCTGGGCAGGCGTTCGAGGATGTCACGTCAAGCTTAATCAGGTAGTTGTCGTAGTAGTCGTATTAGTAGTCGTCGTAGTAGTCGTCGTAGTAGTCGTAGTTGTATTCGTCGTCGTACTAGTCGTAGTGGTAGTTGTAGTCGTCGTCGAAGTAGTAGTCGTCGTCGTAGTAGTAGTAGTAGTAGTAATAGTAGTAGTGGTAGTGGTAGTAGTAGTAGTAGTAGTAGTAGTAGTAGCAGCAGCAGCAGTAGTAGTAGTAGTAGTAGCAGTAGCAGTAGTAGCCGGAGACCGCTAAGAGAGAACCAGAAATGCAGCAATTGACCAGCACAACACCAGGAGACCACGAAGTGACGGCGAGAGCATCAGCAGACTAGTTGGAGACAGGCAGTGTGTGGGTAGGGGCCTCAATAATTCGACTAGGGTTCCTTTCCTTTAAAGGGGTCTATAAGGGTTCGATAAGGCTCCCTGTAAAGGGGGTCTATAAGGGCTACTATAAGGGGTATTATGGGTAGGGGCCTTTGTAACTAGAATAGGGTTTTGGGGGGCTCCTGATTAAAACTATAGTATAACAAACCCCAAACCCTATTCTAATTATGAAGGTCCCTATGCTAGTCTTTGCCATTCTTCACAACTTGGATTAAGTTAGCAGTGTGCAGCCCTGCATCGTCTCTGAGCGGCTTAGCTGCAACCCGTCAGTGAATCCTCGACCTTGACACAAACAAATCCCGAAAGCCCAAGCCGGCAAGGCACATTCTGTCGAAGCTTTTTGCCTTCGGACGCCAGATGGGTGCGAGATGCAGCATGGCATGTAGAGTTTCTCAACGGTCGATGGGCCGCCCTTTCTGAGCCCATTTCTCAACGACTATGCTGTCCCGGGGGCCTCGTCTACCTTGAGAAACTCCCGCAACCTGCTCTTGGATCAGTTGCCAGTGCATACGGCCCGAGGTCGAAGTCTAGACGAATTGACATAAGAAGCCTAGCTGCCCAAGACTTCCAAGCTGTCCCACTCAAGGGTTAAAAGCAAGAGATCAGAAGGGTTTAGGGGTTAAGGTAATCCCTATATACACCCTAAACCCATTATAATCCCTGAGTGCTGCATCTTACACCCTAAACCCTAATCCCTGAACCTTCGCCCCCAGGGCATGGAAGGCAAGCCGAAAACTTCATCTGCGGTTGGCTGTTCTTTAGGGTTTAGGGTTTAGGGTTGAGGGCTTAGGGTTTAGGGTTTAGGGCTTAGGGTTTAGAGTTTAGGGTTCTCGCAGCAAGGGGTTCCGTAACGCTGCCTCAAGTATGAAACTGCTGCTGTTGCGGTCGTCTGAACAGTGAGTAATTTTATAGTCTCCCCGTACTATAGTGCCTCTATAAGCATGCTGTAATACAGCACCAAGCTCTATCGAAAACTCCAATGCTTCTTTTCTGCATAAACACTTTTTTTTGGTTTGCAGGTCTCTATATATCATGCCTGATGTCCGAAGATAATGACGACTGCAAGCCATTGGGTGCTCCGGTTCCCGAGTCTCCAAACCCACATCAAACACATCGGCCTAAATTGCAGTTTCCATAGCAACATGTCATAAGATCAGACACTACGAGATAAGCCGAACACGTATAAAATGAGATAAGACAAGATGAAACAAGCAAAAAAAACATGGTAAGACTGATAGTGGATGGCTTTTGAAAGAGTTGGGGAGTTGGGCTTCCATTCCGAAACCCTACACCCTTAGCCCCTAAACCCTTAAACCCTAAACTCCCTGAACCCTAAACTCCCAGAACCCTAAACTCCCTGAATCCTGAACCCCAAAATCCCTGAATCCTAATCCCTACACTCTGAAAGAGTTGGGCCCTTGGGGCTTCCATTCCGAAGGCCAAGCGAACCGGCCTTTGGCTTGGCCCGGTCTGAAAAGGTGCAGCATTTTCCAGGATCCCCCTTCCCCCTCCGGCTTAAGTTTAGGGTTTAGGGTTTATAGGGTTTATAAAGTTTATGTATAAGTTTATGCAGGGTTTAGGGTTTAGGCAGGTTTAGATTTCATCTGGCAGCTTTAGATTTCAAGTCGTTCTATAGTAAGGGCCCTCAATGTTTAGGACAAGGTGCTGCGTAATAGTATGGAGCCCCGGGAATAATATCGGTAAATATTCCGGCCTACATTTCTTCTGGGGTCTAGGGTCTAGGGTTTATAGCTGAGGGTCTTTTCGGTTCAAGGGGAGGTGTGCTCACATCAGAGAAGGGAGCCCTAAGAGCTCGTTGTAGCAAGGCTTCATCTCCGTTTGTCGCAGACAGGGGGGGGGCACTGCTGGAGGTGCATGGTTTTCGAAGTAGTTAAGGATTACGTAGACATCGAATGAGATAACCCCAGGCATGACTTGGAAGGGGAATGGAAGAGGGCGGGGGCCTGAGTGCACACTGCTGCAGAAAGCGGATGGCTCCGCTTGTGAAATCATGCATGGAAAAGGTTGAAAGCAGCTTACTTGGAGGATCATGGGACTTATAGTAAGTAGGGTTAGAAGTACCTTCCTTAATTGGGGGTTTCAAGTAGATATAACTATGGTTACCTTACTTATAACCCTACTTACTAAGTCCCATGGTCCTCTAAGTAGTCGCGAGCGACGCATCGGAGGTCTCTCTGGTATGACAGTTCCAATGCTCTCCAAGGTCAATCATCACTATTTCGCAACAGAAATTTGGAGAGTTGCGGAACAGTCCGGAGCCCTAAATCCTAAATATTCGCTGCGGCTTAGCTGTCTCGATCTATATGGTTGGAGCACCAAGCGAAGCATCAAGGGGCTTAAACCTCACAGTCCTACTTGTGGCCCAAAAATCCCAAAAAACCTTCCTGTTTTGTGTTCCTTGTGAAGGGGTTTCTATTTATGATTCCTTTTGCCATAGGTAAACCCTAAACCCTAAACCCTCAGAGTCTATGAACCGTTAATGCGAAGCTCACGGTCGCCACGCAGATCCATTGTTCGGCGTGCGAGCGTGCAGTGTCAGAGTAGGACCTCGAACGCAACGCAAGTCTTGTGGTTTAGGGTTTAGGGTTTAGGGGTTTAGGGTTTAGGGTTCTTGTAACCCCAAGCACCGTCAACCCTAAACCGCTAAACCGGTAAACCCTAAACTAAGCCCTAAACCTGCCCTAAACCCCTGAAACCCTCTGGGTTGTCGGGGATTGGCTTTACGCCGCTCTCCTCTGAAAAAGCCTGCTGGGTTCCGCAGCGTCCCCTTAAGAGTCAGGGTGCCCTGGTTATTGTTCCTGGTATTTATGTAGTCTCGATAAGGGAACCCCAAAATGAAAGGGTACGATGACGACGGCTGCTGCCACCTAATCATAATCATGCTGCTGCAAAAGGCTACTGCTACTGCTACTGCTACTGCTACTGCTACTACTACTAGTACTACTACTACTCCTACTACTACTACTACTACTACTACTGCTACTACTACTACTACTACTACTACTACTACTACTACTACTACTACTACTACTACTACTACTACTACTACTACTACTGATACTAATGCTGCGCTACCCCGACCAGAACCTTAAACATGTGAACTCCAAACCACATTTCAGCAGGGAGGTGCCAAGTGTTTCAGGTTGAAGTTGTGCTGCAGCTTCTTGGACCACTCTTACATTGAACACCAAAAAGTTGGAACATGGATTTGGGATGATTTGTGCTGGGATTCCCCTTACTTTAGATTAAGGGCATGAGAATAGTAATGTTCTAACTTTCTGGCTTCTACTGTAGTCAGGGGCTACTGGGTCATGGGGTTGAAAGTGCCTCAATTCGGTTCTCCAAAACATAAAAAAAAACTTGCCTTGCTTGCCTTACATATCTTCGACTGCATCGCGCTGCACCAACGTATGAACCAGCAGGAATATCATGATACCCTACAAGCCCTAAACCTCTATAAACCCTAAACCCTAAACCTCTATAAACCCTAAAAGCCCTACAAGCCCATAAACCCTACAAGAAGCCCTAACATCCTCAACACTAAACCCTAAACCCCTAAACCCTTAAACCCTTAACACCCTCCCCTCCCCTCTCCCCCCGCTTCAGGCTTCAATCTCAGTATAGGGGTGGACAAATTCCCAAACATCAATCAAAGGGGAAAAGGAGGGACCCTTAATGGGGACCCCTACCCTATAATGGGCTATAGAATGGGGGGTCCTTATTATGGGTCCTTCCTTTTACCCTTGGAATCAAGCTGCAACCTACGAAAACCATTCAAAACCGCACCCTGAGTTGTAGGCCCTTGCAATCTTGAACATTCAAACCTCACAGACGCCCAAGACCCCTTTCAACCTGATTCTTAGACCATAAAGTCTGTGCGCCCTCACACCACTAAACTTCAAAACTCCAAGCCTCGTACACCTAAACCCCCTCCATGCTGCTCTAAGCCTTAAGCCTCTGTACCCTCAACCGTAACACCCGATCCTAAACCCTAGAACCCTTAACCCCAAACCCTAAACCTTGAATCCTAAACCCTAAACCCTGGATCCTAAACCCCAAACCCCTCATGCTCACCTACAGTAGAAGCCCAAAAAGTTGGAAACCCAATAGCCTCGATCCTTAAGAGCAATGTATTGGGAATCCCAGCGCTATTTGGCCTTAATCCGGTTTCCAACTGTATGGGGTTTACTGTAGACCGAAACATGGTGAAGTCCTGAATCCTAAAAATAAGGGAACCTGAACCCTAAAACAAGGAATAAGGGCCTACTCTAGGTCCTAGCCTAAATCCTAAAAATCCAAAAGAAACGCTTCCCAGGCCTCGTTCAGGTCGTCTGGAAGGCCCTGGGAGGGCGTCTCCCAGCATCCCGGGAGGCTCTTCTAAAAATTCCCAAGAAGGCCTTTGGAGAAACCCTTGCTACCAAACCCTGATGCAACTCTAAAACCCATACCTCCCGGGAGGTTCTAGAAAGTAGATCCCCTAATTTGGGACCCTATACTACTAAAGGCTACTTTATAGGAGCCCCCACTAAGGGATCTGCTTTTTGGATCCTCCCGAGAATCTGGGCTAGTGTATCAACGGCTCAGAAGGTTACATGGGGCTTTCGACTCTTAGCGTTTAGGGTTTGGGGTTAAACCCTATTAATACTAATAGTATTTAAGGTTTAGGGTTTAGGGTTACCCAAGAGTAACCTGGGAATAAAAAGGGTGCCCTTTTTGGTTTAAAGGGGGTTATAAGGGAACCGATAACCCTAAAAAGGGGAATAAGGGCCTACTCTGGGTGCTAGGTTACGTGGGGCTTTCGATTTTTAGGGTTTAGGGTTTGGGGCTTGGGGGTTTAAGGGTTTCTAGACCCAAGAGTAACCTGGGAATAAAACGGGTGCCCTTTTTGGTTTAAAGGATAAGGGAACCTATAACCCTGAAAAGGGGAATAAGGGCCTACTCTGGGTGCTAGGTTACTTGGGGCTTTCGAATTTTAGGGTTTAGGGTTTGGGGGTTTAAGGGTTTGGGGGTTTAAGGGTTTAGGGTCTAGGGTTTAGGGCTTGTAAGGTTTCGGGCTTGTTGAGGGATTTAGGGGTTCGTTGATGGCTCTTCGGGCTTGGGGCATTTAAGATCTACCTATAGTCTCCATTGAGGATCCACTGTAGTTCCTTTATGGGGTTACCTATATAGGATCCTCAATGTATTATTAGTTAAACCAGAAAAAAGGAACTACAATGGAGACTGTTTCTGAAGGGCTCTGTGCTTGAGGTTTACGATTTCGGCGCTTCTTCTGCCAGGGCCTGGGCTCTTCGAGGTGCTTGGGCTTTGGTTCTAGGCTCTGGGGCTTAGGGTACTTCGGTTTTCGTGGTTCTGGGGCTGGGGCTTGGGTGTAAGGCAGTGTCAAGATTTGGGCTTCTTTGGTATTTTGGTCTTGCGCATGCTTCAGGCTGTTCAGGGCTTAGGTTTACGGCTTAAGTTTTGGTAGGTTTCCGAACCCAACAAGTCTGTCCGTCAGGGCCGCGTTCTCAAACTCTCAAGCCGGTATCTAGCCAAGCTCCAAGCTCAAGCCCCCGAACGCCAAACCACACAAGCTCTACATCACACCCTGAACCCTAAACTCCAAACCTTACAACCCAACTCGAAAGCTGCAACAGCCTTGCTGTGAAGCCTGATTGGTGATAGCGATGCTACTCCTTATGGTCCCATTCTACGGTGCAATCACTCTCAACCATAAACCCTGAACTCCTTATGGTCCCATTCTACGGTGCACATCACTCTCAACCATAAACCCTGAACTCCTTTCTAATCATTTTCAAGCCCAGGTAACAGACAACCAAGCAGGCCTTGGAAAAAGCTTCTCAATCTCCGAGCTGTTCAGCTCGTCGGTTAGGGGTAAGGATTGCTCCTGCAGCTTGGGCTAGGTTTTTTTTTGTTTTTAAGTGGGCTAGGGTTTAGGATTTGGGGTTAAGGGTTTCAGGTTTGGGGTTTAAGTTTCAAGTCACAGCTGTATAGCTTTATTGGCAGCCCCTTGTGGAAGTTCCAGGACTCATTCGATTCAGTATACAAATCTTCATGGGGACTTGGGCCCTCGATCCCAGCCAACCAACAAGCTACGGTTGATGATATAAACCCTGCATTACCCATAATTAGGAGTATACCATAATTCCCATAGTTTAGGGTTCCTAAGGGTACTGCAGGATTTACATCATCAACACTAGGACCATGCCAAACCCCAAACAGTCGCAACCCCACGAAACTCCACAGCTCTTATCGTCTGCAATAGGCTGCACAATACCAACCACAATGGTACTAGACTGATGGCAAAACCTCACAACATGCGGATACCCTAAATCCGAAGCCCTAAACCCAAAGCCGCAAACACGAAGCTCTAAATCCGAAACCCTAAACCTTCAACCCTGAAAGGAGAAAAGGAGGGACCCTTAATGGGGACCCCTACCCTATAGTGGGCTATATAAGGGGTATATAATAGCTATATTAAGGGTATATACCTAGGGGTCCTTAGGAGAAGCCCTAAACCCTAAGCCCAAATACTAGCAGTCAGCAGTACCAACATAGTACCTGCCTCGGGCTTAACTCATGCATCATGGGTTTAGGGCTAAGTTTAAGGCACTGTTTTTGAACTTTTTTCTAGACCCAAGAGTAACCTAGGAATTAAAAGGGTGCCCTTTTTGGTTTAAAGGGGCTTATAAGGGAACCTGAACCCTACAAAAAGGGAATAAGGGCCTACCCTAGGCCCTAGTTTTTGAAGTTTAGGGGAGTGGGGTTCAGGGGTTAGGGCTTAAAGGCTTAAGGGTCCAAGGCCTTCAACTTAAACCCTAGAGCTTTAAGCCTCGCCTTTAGAGGAACCCTTCAAAGGAACCCCTAAGATCCCTTAACCTACTTGTCGGGTATCAGGGGGAACTGAAGGTTAACCTTTTCGGTTATATCGGGGTTATATAGGGACTAGACTACCCAAAAAGGTTAAAGGTTACCCACTCTAGTACTAGGCCTAATTTCTGGTCGACTCTGGAAGCCTGAGCACTAAGATGGGAGTTTCCGAAAATCAGGGGTACCTCATTGGGGGAGGGGGGGGCCTTATAATAAGGATCCTACTATTTAGGATACTTTGTTAGGGTCCCTATTTTTCGGAAACTCCCATTTGTAGCCCTAAACCCTTAAACCCTTAAACCCTTAAACCCCCAAAAAACCCTAAACCCTAAACCCTAAAGCCGTAAAGCCCTAAACCCTTAAACCCTAAGCCCCAAAAATGCTAAAACCCCAAACCCTAACCCCCCCCCTCCAATTTCAGGGCCCGGGCTTCAGTTCCCGCAGTCACGGTGTTTGCTTCGATGTAGAGCTTCTGCCTGGATGCATCTTGCCAGAGGGTTTAGGGTTTAAGGGTGTAGGGTTTAGGGCTTCGGGTTTAAGGCTTTGGGATTTTGGGATTTTAGGGCTTAGGGTTTAAGGGTTTAAAGGTTTAGGGTTTAGGGCTGATTAGGGCTTAGGGTTTAAGGTTTTAGGGTTTAGCGCTAGGGTTTAGGCGATAAGCGTTAAGGGCTTAAGGGTTAAGGGCAGGGTTTAAGGCATTTTGAAGGTTCCTTTAAGGCTCCTTGAAGGGATCGCTGCCTGGATCCATCTGGCGAGAGGCTTTGGGTGTTTAGGTTTGGGGTCGGGGGTTTAGGGTTTTAGGGTGGAGGGATTTTCGGGTCTTCAGGGCTTTAGGAGTTTAGGGTCTTGGGTCGGGGGTTGGGGTTTAGGGTTCAGCAGCTCCGAGTAGCTGGGCTATGAACCCTCAAGACCAATGCCCACCCGCCCAAAGCATCCACCAACATCAGAAACTAACCTTGTTATTTGAGATGCGAATTCGATTTTATACTTATCTTGTATTCTCACCAGCCTCCTGGATCCCTAAGCCCCAAACCTGAGCCCTAAGGCCTAAACCTGAACCCTAAGGCCTACCCTGCAGAACCCTAAGGCCTAAGCCCTAGGGGGCCGGCCCAGAGCCCCACACCCTAAATCTTAAGGGCCAGCCAGAGCCCTAAACCACCTAAGCCCGAACCTTAAGCCTACAACAGGAGTGCTCTGATTCTCAGAGCCACGAGTTATGGGACAAAGCCACGAGACATGGGAGAAAGCCACGGGTTATGGGACAAAGCCACGAGTCAAATATGGGAAAAAGCCACGAATATCATAAAGTTTAACGTAGACAGGTTCAAGGTTGGGGTTTAAGGTTCAGGGTTGGGGTTTGGGGTTTAGGTTCATCTTTGCCTTATTTGGGGAGCCCTAGCATTTGATGAAGCAAGATCACGGGCATGAGAAGGAAAACGGACGTCTTTATCTGTTTTGGGACTAGCATTTTGCGCTCTGTAGAAATCATGACGTTTTAGCATATCTAACCGTGTGCATAGAAAATTCGGCTTCAGAAGACCCATGGTTCGGGGCTTAGCACGCAGAAGCCAAAACCCTCATAGAAAGGATGCCAAGCACAGATCCAGTTACCCGCAGCATTGACGTCGGAGGTTTGCCGCCCAAGCCGAGCTCATGACAATTCCTGCGCACCTTGGCAATACGATGGCTCGGACAACTTGGGCTCTGAGCTTAGGGTGCTGTCGGTTTGTGGTGTGTCATACTTGGGGTGTGCTGTCAAAGTCACGATGTCACGATGCATGATGGAATGCTGTCCGTTGTTGGAAATACTGTAGTGGAGTTAGTTGCCGGAGTCACGGGTCTAACGATCACAACTGCTATACTGCTGCGGGGGTGCAGTGTGGGCTGCTACTTTCATCAGTCCCGTGATTGCAGCTGCTGGAGCCATCATGAAACAAACAGTTCTTGGTGCTGTTGTTGACACTCTTAGACTCTTAGGTTTATCACAGCGATAACGATACACCTGCGAGTGCAGTTCCTGGTCTATTCCTCCTCCTGTGGAATTCAGAAAGTCGGATCTGGTTTATGATTGAAATCCGTCAGACTGAACTCAAAGAAGTGAATTGCTTTGTAAATACAACTTCAAGCCCTTAGCGCGAAGCCAGTGCGTTGAGTTCCGAGTCCGTGGCAGAGCAAGCAGTAGCACTGCAACCGGCACCGTCGCGCGATTGTCCTCTGTGGCCGAGAGTGTAGGCCAGCATACCAGACAGCTCTATCTGGGTGCTACGGTTGATGATATAAACCCTGCATTACCCATAAGAAGGAATATACCATACTCCCCATAGTTTAGGGTCCGTAAGGCAATGCAGGAAATATATCGTCAACCGTAGGGGCTGAACTCATCAACGCCCCAAAATCCCAAGCTTAGCTTACGAAGCCGCACCTGGGCAGCGAAAGTCGCGCCACTGAGCTGTTGTCAGAAGAAATTATTTCAAAACATATAATTCTAGATAGAGAGAGAAACAGAGAGAGAGAGAGAGAGAGAGAGAGAGAGAGAGAGAGAGAGAGAGAGAAGAGAGAGAGAGAGAGAGTTGCTACCCATCGCAGACTTGTTGGGTAAGTAGGGTGGGGATGCTTGTGACAAAAGTCACAAAATGTATCAAACCCGGTAGAAGCCTCTGAAATTCCTTTCGCGGCAAATGCTGTGTACCAAAACCCGTTGTAGCAGAACGCCAAGTAACAGCACAGACTGACTTTTGCCGTTACTCGACAACTTTGGCTGTTACTGAGAACGCTTCCCGTTCCCGTTGTAGGGTTCCGAGTCTCGGGGACCCAGGGCCCAGCCTTCCCTCAACAAAAAACCAAACCCGGCACCCAACAATCAGCCGAAAACCCCGATACATACGGCTCATGATATAAATCCTGCATTACCCATAATAAGGACATATACCATACTCCCCATAGTTTAGGGCTCTCAAGGTAATGCAGGATTTATGTCATCAACAGTACTCTAAGCCGGAAGACGCTAAAAACCCAATATGACATAGACTTTGTTCATCCCCCCCCCCCCCCGCCGCCCCTCCACAAATCCCAAAGCTGCCCTTTCGGGCAGATAGACCAGGCCCTGAACTCTAAACCCTGAGCCTAAACCCCAAACCCTAACAGCATGAACCCTAAACCCCTAAACCCCAAACCCTAAATCCTTAGAGCATGAACCCTAAACCCCAAACCCTAAATCCTTAGAGCATGAACCCTAAACCCCAAACCCTAAATCCTTAAAGCATGAACCCTAAACCCCTAAACCCCAAACCCTAAATCCTTAGAGCATGAACCCTAAACCCCAAACCCTAAATCCTTAGAGCATGAACCCTAAACCCCAAACCCTAAATCCTTAGAGCATGAACCCTAAACCCCAAACCCTAAATCCTTAAAGCATGAACCCTAAACCCCTAAACCCCAAACCCTAAATCCTTAGAGCATGAACCCTAAACCCCAAACCCTAAATCCTTAGAGCATGAACCCTAAACCCCAAACCCTAAATCCTTAAAGCATGAACCCTAAACCCCTAAACCCCAAACCCTAAATCCTTAGAGCATGAACCCTAAACCCCAAACCCTAAACCTTAAAGCATGAACCCTAAACCCCTAAACCCCAAACCCTAAATCCTTAAGCCCCTAAACCCCAAACCCTAAATCCTTAGAGCATGAACCCTAAACCCCAAACCCTAAATCCTTAAAGCATGAACCCTAAACCCCTAAACCCCAAACCCTAAATCCTTAGAGCATGAACCCTAAACCCCAAACCCTAAATCCTTAGAGCATGAACCCTAAACCCCAAACCCTAAATCCTTAGAGCATGAACCCTAAACCCCAAACCCTAAATCCTTAGAGCATGAACCCTAGACCCCTAAACCCTAAACCTTAAAGCATGAACCCTAAACCCCTAAACCCCAAACCCTAAATCCCTAAAGCATGAATCCTAAACCCCGAAACCCCAAACCCTAAACTCCAAACCCCAACCACTCCAAACGCAGCCTTCAGAACGCTGAGGATGCCTGGCCGGCTGTACCTGGTAACCCGCGGAAAAACCAACCACAACTGGAGCTTCAGGATTTTTTATCGGGTTTGGGTTTGTTAGGGCTTAGGATTTAGGGTTTAGGGTTAGGGTTTATGAGGGTTTAGCATTTCGGGTTTAGGGTTTGGGTGTACTAGGGTTGGGATAAATCCTGTAAGGTTCAGGGTCTAAGAGTCTAGGGTTTGGGGTTTTAGGGTGGAGGGCCACAGCTGGGGTGTCAGGCGTTCTTTACAGAAGGCTGCAGGGTTTGAGGGGCTTTTCCTTGCTTCGGGCTTGGGTTTCGGGTTTAGGACGTAGGGTTTAGAGGCTATAAAGTTTAGGGTTTAAAGTTTAAGGAGGTTCTGATCCCAGCCTTCCTGTCTGGACAGGAGGGAAGCGAACATGGTACCGAATGGCAGTCGATTCGGCTTAAAACAGAGATAAAAAATCTTAAAAAAGAGATAAACAAATAAAAACAATAAACAAATCTTTATCTCTGATCATGCAGTGCGTTTCGCCGAAGATCGAGCAGCTACGCTGACGAGTCACCATCGGTTACCCCAAGGGTCCAAAGGATCCAATAATTAGGTACTCGGCTTTAGGATGGTAGTTATGTAGGTTAGGATTTCGGAGAGTGTATGATTATTGGGTACTTGGACCCTTGGGGTTATAGCTATAGGCTATGATGGTCAACGCTGCTGAAGGCAGTAATCAATTAGGGAGATCTCACCGCACATGCACCCGCAGCTAATATTTCTGAAACCATGCAAAGCCCACGTCAACCTTTCAACCTTCGACGCTACGGCTTGAAACCTCCGCACTGAACCACAACCTAAACCCATCAAACTTTAAAACTCTTTAAGTCCTGAACCCGAAGCCATGCACCCTAAAGCAATACTTAAACTCTCGAAAGGCTACCGTTATAACACAAGCGAATTAAAGTAAGGAACCTTGAAAACTTAGACGCCAAACTCCAATCTTAAGCTTGTAAACCCCAAACCCTGATCTTCAAGCCCTAAACCTCAAATCTCAAAGCCCCCTAAACCCCAAAAGCCGAATCTTAAAACTCTAGACCGTCTAGCCCCTATAAGTCCTAAACTCTAAACCTTAAACCCTTAAACCCTAAACCTTAGACCCTAAGCCCTGAACCCTCAATGGTTCAGCCCGAGCAGCTTGAACTCAAAGGCGATGGGCGTGTCGGCCTCAGAGCAATGGCAGGAACCCTTTAGGGTTTAGGGTTTAGGGTTTAGAGTTGAAGGTTTAGGGTTTAGGGTTTAGGGGGTTTAGGGTTTGATTTTTTTTGTTGCTGGCCCCTTTCCGTCTGCATTGTCTGCGTCGGAAGTATCCTGAAAAGACCGGCAAGGCTAGCGCCAAAGGGTTTAGGGTTTAGAGGTTAAGAGTTTAAGGTTTAGGGTTACGGATTTAGGGTCATCAACTCTGGTATATACGACTTTAGGGCTTAAGGCTTCAGGGGCTTTTAGGGCTTAAGGCTTTAAGGGTTTACAGTTTACGGTAGTGGGGTTGAGGATTTAGGACTTAATGTTTTTCGGCCTTTGAGGGCTTTTAGGGTCCTTGCTTTCAGGGTCTGAGTGCCGAAGAGTGGAAGGGCTGTCTGCTGTAGGTGGGAGCCCTACCGAGATCGAACTCACCACATCCATCTTACCCAGACTGTTGAAGAGCAGTTGAGCCTCACCGGCCTGAACCTAAACCCTAAACCCCGACCCCTTTTAACAGCCTCAACCCTAACCCCCGAACCCCCCTTGAACCCTCAACCCCCTTAAACCCCCTCAACCCGAACTCCCCCCCCCCCCCACCGTCACCCCGACCCTAAACCCTAAACCCTAAACCGGCCTTGGAAGCGGCCAGCTTCTGCAACTCCATAGGGTAGCCTGGAGCTTCGCCGGTCTGCATTCGGCCTGTCACGAGGCGCTGTCCGGGCTCTTCTTACCTTTGGTACCCAAGGTTCCTGAACCCTAGACCCCTGAACTGCTTTAACCCCAAACCCTAAACCCCAGAAAGTTTAGGGTTTCGGGCTTAATTGCCCAAAACCCAAATCCCCATAAGGCTTAAGAGGATGTAAAGTTTAGGGTTTAGGGCTTAATTACCCAAAACCCAAAGTCCCATGAGGTTTAAGAGGATCAGCCTTCGCGCAGGTATTTGGGGTGAGTATCTCGACATGGACAGTGACTTGCCATAGAGCCTAAGAATGCACGCGCTGGGGTAGATGTAGGGGCCTTCTCAATTTCAATAGGGTTGTTGGGGGTAAATACCCCAAGCCCCTTTAAATTTCTTATACTTCAGAAACCTAAACCCCAAACCCTTGTGAGCCCTAGGCCACTAACCTTCTACCAACGGCATCGACTCGAAACCCTTTCCTTCCATCCACAGAGTCACGGAAGCCTCTTTATGGTTAAGGTCTTAGGGCTTAGGGTTTCGGATTTTGGGATTCTTGGAAGGCTTCTTTCTTGTGGGTTTCGGGTTTTGGGCTTAGAGTGTAGGTGTGTTCGCATTGGCGAATCGACACCCGTACTACGATGATCCTAAAGGGAGCCAATCTGGAGGCTGACAGAGCTGTGAATTTAGGATCCGGACTTCCCCCAGTATTTGGCCATAGATTTCAGCAACCTGTCAATTCTGTGACTTAAATCCGCGACCCCGAATCGGGCGCACACTGCATCCACTCCCAGAAGTTCTTGTACGGGTGGTACCTGGGCACTCCAGCCCCAGTCCCCCAAGAAAACCTTCGCAAAGACCTTGCAGCTGTGGAATCGCGGCTACCTAAAGCATCATATAGCAACCCCAAACCCTCAACCCTCAACCCTAAAACCTAAACCCCCAACCCTAAGACCCTCAACCCTGAAGTATCCGCTAGCGGTGGTACTTAGTACTTAGGGCTTGGACTTCTCCCCAACGCTTCGAGTTTTGAGGTTTTTACCCTGTGGCTCGTCCCTTCAGCCGAGCCTTGGGCTACTGTTACTCGAATGTCGGGGTCTTAGTATTTAGAAGAGGGGTCTTAGTAATTAGAAGAAGGTTCCTCTAACCTTAAGGGGTCCACAGGGGCTACTATAAGGGCTATGATACGGATTTGATGTAGAGGGACTTAATAATTAGAATAAGGTTTGACGGCATAATTTTACTCTACTTCTGAAAACGGAACCCCCAAACGCCCCAAAGCCCTATTCTAATTATTAAGGCCCCTGCAATATACTACCGGATACTATAGGAAGCGGTGCAGCAGAGGCATCTTCGTATCCAGCCTGCGTCGGCTCCAGTAGGTAAAGGGAAGCAGTACGGCTAGGTTAGGGTTTAGGGTTTAGGGATTAGGGTTTAGGTTCATCCGCTGCTCAAGCCTTCTGTAGCTCGCCAGTCGTCGAAGAAGTACTACTTACTACCGCACATGCTGAATATTGGATGTTCATGACTTGTCAAGCAATTCTTTCTACACAGCACTGCGCGAACTTTTTCTGATTTCACAGTAACTTACTGCAAGCCCTTGTGAGAAGCCCCTGCCACCAGCCAGTCCAGCCACCTGCCGACTGTCACGCACTCAGACTCACGCACACAATTAAACACACACACACACACATAAAAAACAAGTCTCCAATATAGGTGCCGTAGTAATTACACTAGGGTTTTGGGGACCATGATACTATAAGTATAATACGGAGCCCCAAAATAGTATTGGCAATTGATTAAGCCCCTATACTATCCGAAACCGGAATATGACCCCGAAGCAGCAGCCGCAGTAGGCCGGGTGACGCCGCAAAGGTCATCGCTGTGTGACCCGTCGTCCTCAGCCAAGTGTGGCAGGTGACGGGCCACCCTAAACCCCAAGCCCTATACATATCTTAAAACGCTACACCCCAAGCCCTACATGCATCTTAAACCCTAAACGCCAAGCTCTAGCCCTACATAAATCTTAACCCCCAAAACCTTATAGGATTGAAGCCCTCAGGCTCAGGGACTCTATCCACTGGCGTGTAGGGCTCCGGGGGTTCCCTCGTACTAGCATGATTACATGCAGGGTTTAGGGTTTAGGGACCTCTAGGTCCACACAGGCCGTGGTCCGGCCACGCTTTTGTTGCCTCGTCTTCCTGGCACACTGAAGCCTGATGCTGCTCGCCAGTATCTCAACTGTGCTTCGGTCGGAAAGCACATCAGACTCCGTGTCTGATAGTACCTGGGGAGCATCGGGTACCTCAACCACCGAACGCTCGCTGTCCTTTGGAGGGTCGTCCCTGAGAAGAACGCTAGGCCTTCGCTTGGGAGTCGGAGCTAAGCGAGGGCGGGCAGAGGCCTCATGTTCCGCACTGCCACTGTCCGCAGTCTCAGCCTCGAACACCGGGGCAGGTAGTGGCACATTGCCTACCCTGACTGACTTGATGGTGTGCTTTAGGAAGACAGTCACTGGCGGCGGTTGAGTTCTCCAGGTCATGTATTGGAGGAATGCCATGTCCGCCGCGGTCAGGGCGTCTCGTTCGCGGCTGTAGTTCAGGCATCGAAGGGGACAGGATCACCCGCCCTAATTGCGGCTCGTATTGTCGAGGCCACCGCCGTGGAGCGCGATTAGGGTTTAGGGTTTCGTGTTCAGTGGTGTTTTCGGATGATACTATTAATGTGTTCATGAATGGCTACTATGACTATGTGTACCGTCAGTACAACTCTTAGTAGTAGTACTGTTAGGTATTTTCGGAGTTTCAGGCATCTCGACCTTTATGACGACTGAGGAGGTATTTCTGAACGTACTCGTCTGAATCGGTGACCTCGGAGCTTTGGAATCATTTTGAGTACACTTCTCGATCTGTGCATGTCATCCTCGTGCAGGGCCATGCTTAAGCCAGCTTCTCTGTATCGCTTCATGTTTATCGGATGATCCCCTTCGATATGTTTCGAGGTTTAGGGTAAGGGCTTAGGGTTTCGTGGCGTTAGCTTTAGCGGGCTTTGGAGGTTGTGAAGCATTATGGTTGCTACCCGGGCCACTGTAAGGCTTTAGGGGTTTACAAATTTAGAAGCTGGTCTAAAGGTTCTGGAGGAGTCGGCTAGGGGTTCAGGATTTAGGGATTATCGTTTAGGGTTTAGGGTTTGGGGTTTCGGGGTTTGCCTGCAAGCCCGACTACCGCAAACTCGCTGAATCCCAAACCAAAGCACGCCAAAATGTTTTGAACACATCCTGGCACTTGCATGTATATGTATGTGTATGCATATGTATGTACATATTAGATGTGTGTACATATATATGTATGTCTGAAACTCCGCAATGATCGTTGCATCACGGAACCCCGGATTGGCTATCTGAATGGAACTTTTGTCTTCATCTGATTAATTGCAGTACAAGACAGAAAGTTGGAACATCATTATCCTCATTCCCGTAAGGCAAGGTAGACGGAACCCCATCTCTAGTGAAAGCCCTGCCAAATATTAGGCTCTGCCGAGCCACTTCTCTGGGATAAGCCAGCCGCATGTCTTCCTCATGCTGTGAAGCTTCAGGGGTTTAGGGGGTTTAGGCTTTTAAGGTTTAGGGCTTAAAATTTAAGGTTTGGGGTTTAGGGGTTGTAGGGTTAAGGTTTAGGGTTTTAGGGCTTAGGGGTTTTAGGGTTTAGGGGTTTGGGGTTTAGGTTGGAGCTTAATAGCGAGGGCTTTGGCCTCGACCTAAGGCCCGACTTCCGACAACCTGAGTCACTGAACCATAAACTAGGATACCCAGTAACCTAAGAATAAAAAGGCCTCTCTTTTTGGTATTGGGTAACTTTATAAGGAACCTAGGACCACAAAAAGGGAACTGGGCATCCTAGTAAACCTTGGGTACTGCCTCCATACAGTAACAGTAACAGTCTATAATAGGGGCTACTATTAAGGTCCTAAGACATCTATGTTATGAATATTATCCAACTGTGACTGAGTGGGGGCAGTGCCCAACATAAACCCTCAATACAGAAACGCTGAAACCCATGACCCATAAACGAATGTCCAAGCTTAAATAGAAGTGGGAGGCCAAAAGGGGGGTTTAAGATTCTTGGGGTGGGGATTCCTTAATATGAACCCTATTATGGGAACCCCAATCCCTACTAAACCCCATAGGCTAAACCCCCTTTTGGCCTCCTATAAAAATGGAGCTGAGAGGCCCTCCCTGCATACTGATGGTACTTGAAGGATCATGGGACTTAGTAACTCGGGCTATGATTCGGGTAACTGTACTTATAGCTACTTATAACCCCAATTAAGGTACTTATAACCTTACTTAATAAGCCCCATGATCCTCTAAGTATGCTATAACCCCCCCCCCATTCCCAGCCATCAACCGCTGTTCGCATAATTAAGGCCCCTACACCCAGTCCTTATAGTACTCCTTGGAGTAACCCTAACCCTTACACAAATTCTATGGACACCCTACTCTCATGAATGTGGCCCCCATATCTAGCCCATGGTCGGGATAGTATTCAACTTGTGAATTTCTGTTCCTTCTTGAGACTAAGTACCCATGAACATGCAAAATGCTACCCAACAATGACAACGATATCTATCATGCGCGACAAGGGTCCAGCCTTTGCCAAGGTCTGCTCGGGAAGACCAAAGTGTTGTTTCCGGATGTAGATAATTAGGGTTTAGGGTTTAGGGTATAGGACTTAGATTGTCTACGACCTAACCCGGTTCAGGACGTAGGGCTTCGAGCTCGCTGAATGAATGCTGGCCGGTCTACCTGCCGGCAGGAGAGCGCGCGAGTTCGGATTAAAGATCATGCCTTCAAGTCTGAAATCCGTGCCAAATACAATACTAGAGCTTTATACTGCGCAGGGGTCCAGCTTTTGACAAACTTTAAACCCTACGGCACTGAAGCAGTAACTCGCCAAGGCCTCCCTAAGCCCCGGACCGTCCCTATAACTTTAGCGAGAAGGCACTCCCTTCAGTCATATAATTATGATGGACATACACCTAAACCAGCCTAAACCCTGAACGCACAGTTTGTCGTTGGGCTGTGGAGTTTCCACCTTTTCAGTTCCTGCAAGGGGTCTGGCAAGCTGGACTGGCCAAGCATCTGGGCATATGCACCGTAGGTGTACCTCAGCGGCGAAGGGTTCATAATGAGGTTCAGGGTATGAAGTCCGGGGTAAGAACATGTAAATGCAATCCCAATCCCTGAGCCCTAAACCCTAAGCCCTAAACCCGAATCCCTAAACGCCAATCTCTGAACCCTTCCCGAATCCCTAGCCTGATCCTAAATTTACTACCCAATAAGCCACAGGAATACAAGGTTATACTTTCCGATTCCTACTACACTATAAGAGCCCAAAAGTTTAAAGGTTAGGTATTGGGGATCTCAGTAAATTTCTAGACCCTAAACTTTAAACCACAAACCCTACACGACATACCCTAGGGGCTGAAGGGTCGAGGCACTGCAACCAGCTCCCTAGCTGCGTGCACAAAAAAAGGTTAGTTAGGGTTTTGGGGGTTGCATGCCAAAAACAAGTTAGTTAGGGTTTGGGGCTGTAGGGCTCAATGTGGGGCTTTCCGAATATAGGGGACCCTAATATAATAGTACCCTAAATAGTAGGATCCTGATTATAAGGGCCCCCAAGTAAGGTACCCCAAATTTTCGGAAATTCCCATGTAGGGTTTGGGGTTTAAGGCTCAATTTGGGGTTTCGGGTTCATTTCCAGTTGGGGGCTACTTTTGAGCTTCTTCTACAAACCCCTGAAAGGAACCCTGAAACGAGCCCTGTGGTCTGGTCAAGCTAGGCCGGCCACGATGTTTTAGGGTTTAGGGTTTAGGGTTTTGGGTTTAGGGTTTGGGAGTTTAGGGTTGGGGTTTGGGAGGACTGGGCAGGTGGGCGGGGGCATCGGTCACAAATGGCCATGCCGGCAGTGCTTAAACAGCTGAAATATTCGATCCGATCTGACTTCTGCAATATTCCAATATTCGTATAAAGCCCTGCCAGCCTAGACGGCGAAACCGACGTATCCAGACCTTCCAAAATCCCTTAATTAAGGAATATACCTTAAAATATATTAAGGATCCTACTACAATTTAAGGGATATTCCTCAATTAAGGGATTCTGGAAGGTCTGGGTAGGAAGGTCAGAGTTCAAGTAGAACGACTCTCCAATGGAGACTGTAGCAAACCCTGCTCGCAACACCCATGGGGAGCAAGGTCTTGAGACAAAGAGAGTCAAGCTGCTTGGGGTGAGAAGAGAAGTGAGTGGGAAAACCGTGTCCCCAAAGGCACGTGGGAGGTTGTCAAAATTATGGTCCCTTTTGGGTACCCTAAATAATAGGTGCCGTATTATAATATGTAATGAGCCAAAACGGGACCCTAATCTACTATTTGCTTAAGAACCCCCAAAAAATAAAAAAATATATTCCTTATGGGGGTAATATAGGGATTGTTATTTTGATTTTTTGGGTGGGTTCTTAAGCAAATAGTAGTAATTTTGACAACCACCCACGTGGAGAAAACACCCACCAAGGAGTAAGAAGCCCCGGCATACACCCCTGGCCACACCACGACCTCAGATCCCCAAACCCAATAAATCCTAGGGTTCCTTTAAAGGGATCGATAAGGGTACCTTTAAGGGATCTATAGGGTTTTAGGATGATATAAACTCAATGTACCTATACTGAACTTAGAACCCTAGCAAAAATTACAATTTTAGCTGTTTCTTAGGGATTATAATAACCAAAAATTACAAAAAATACAAATTATTTCTAAGTAACCCTAAGAATCTAGGATGCCCAGTAACCTAGGAATAGAAAGGGCTCTCTTTTTGGTATTGGGTAGCTTGATAAGGAACCTAGGACTACAACAAGGGGTACTACTGCACATCCTAGAAATGGTCCAAAATCCCGGAAAACAGACATGTTGGGCGCAACACCTATGTCTGAATCAATGATCAGCTACATGTCGTATAAGAGAGGTAGTCCTGCGACGGCATGCACCTTCAGGTGCTTTAAGCAATTGTTCCTTGGATGCAGTCGGATCAAGGAATGGGAAACTGAATGTTGTAGGACTTAGTAAGTATGGTTATAAGTACCTTAATTGGGGTTATAAGTAGTTATAGGTATAGTTACCCTAATAGTAATGACAGGTTGTATGACAGGCGGGAACTTCCGAAAATAAGCTTATATACCTTATTTTGGGATCCTGATAATAAGGATCCTACTGTCTAGGGTACTAAATGAGGGTCCCCTATTTCCGGAAACTCCCAGGCCGGGCAGACCCTTAACGGAGTACAAATCAACATTAGCAGAGGGACTCCAGCCTGGTTTGGTGGGATGACATCACATACATGGGTGGTTGTCAAAATTATTGTCCCTTTTTGGGTCTTTGCTATAATACGGCCTAATATTTAGGGTACCAAAAAGGGACCATAATTTTGACAACTACCCACATGGTGATGTGTTAGAAGGGGCCCCCACCCTGTAATAGTGGTATAATAGGAATATAATAGGGCCCTCATATAATCCTTATAGTCACTATTACAGGGTGGGGCCAGCTTCTAAGTGATGTAGGATGTCATCTTCAGTTCGAGCCTATCATGGACTCTGGCTTTCAAAAGTCCCAAGGCCATTCCCCTATTTCATTCTAATCATCACTGCCCCAATGTTCGTCAATTCGGGGGGTTTGGAGATGGTATGGGTTTAAAGTTTAGGGGTTGGTTTCATCTATAATCTAAGGAACCCCCAAGATAGTATAGGTATTTATTAAGGCCCCTATAGTACCCGAGCCCTAAAGTAAATCTCCGAAGCTCGAGACCGAAGCAGACCGGCAACTCGGTTTTCTCAGGGCCCTCGTGGGACTAATATGTGTGTGTGTGTGTGTATATATACATACATACATACACATGCGTGGTCCTAATAACTAGAATAGGGTCTTGGGCTCCTTTATTTTTTAGTCATAGTGAGGAACCCGAAGGAACACTGTAGGTAATTGCTCAGGCATCTATATTAGAACTTTAACGGTCCAATTGGTCCTTATTGTAGGGTTGTGGGCAAAATGGACCCGAAGTCCTATTTTAGGGAATACTTGGACCCTTAAGGGGAGACAAAACAGCCTTAGAGTTTGAGGATTTCGGGGCATCTAAAGTTTATGGTTTGGGGCAAGCTTCTGCATGGGCCTTTAGAACAAGTACCCTCATCCCCATCAGGCCCCGAAGCCCAAAATCCCCAAAGCAACCCAAGCACCAAAACCCAAAAGCCTTAATACCTTTAACCCAACAAGGCCCGAAGCCCGAAATTCCCAAAGCGACCCAAGCGCCAAACCTTAAAAGCCTCCACCCCAGTAAATTCCCTGCCGAAGGGTCATCCAGAAGTCCTCTCCATAGGCTAACTTGGAAATCTTTTTCTCGCACTCCTGTTCTGTCTGAGGATAAAGGGCTCGGTAGCCTTAGTGACTGCCATATGGTCCTTACAACAAGGTTGACCGTTTAGAGCGGATACTCAGTGTCTGACACAGGGAAGTTGGGGTTCCATATAAGGCTCTAGGGCTCAAGGGCTGCGGGCTTCAGGGATACTATCTTAGTTGCTGAGTTCATAAGCCCCCAAACGTGTACACTTTTAGTTTTATAGTGGGTAACATTATCCCCAAAAGTGTAAAGTGTATCCACTCAGCTACTAGGTTATTAGTAGTTTAGTTTGTAGGGGTTTGCAGGTCTGTGGGGTTGGAGAGGTAAGGGCTTTAAATTCTTGTGTGTGGGGCTTCCGGTCTAGGGTTCAGGGCTTTAGCGGGTCAGGGCTTTACGGTTGATGATATAAATCCTGCATGACCCATAACAAGGAATATACCATAATTCCCATAGTTTAGGGTCCTTAAGGTAATGCAGGATTCATATCATCAACCGTAGCACCCAGAAGCATCGATACCCACATTTCTTGAGCCTCAGAAGTTACCAGAATTCCGAAGGTACATGCTAAGCTGTCCACTCTGACCTGTCGAAATCCAAATCCCCATAACCCTAAACCCTAAATCTCTACAGTAAGGGATTTACCTGTATCCCCAAACCCTACAAAACAGTAGGTTGTGACCTCTTGATTAGAGGGTATGACCCTTAAAACGGTAGGGTTTTGGATCCCCCGGTACAAACCCCGAACCCAAAGCCTTAGTCACAGATTGCCAATCTGCGGCTGGCCTTGGAATGATCTCGGAAGATCCTTAAGATGAGGCCGGTGTATTTAGGATGGCTTTTGAGGATTCTAACGTTTAGAAGCTTCTGGTTTCAGGGTTTGGGCAGTTTTTGAGGCGGTTTACCGTTTTCCAGGATGGTTGGCTTTTGGGGAACATGGCTTTGGTACGTTGGTTGTGAAGAGAACGACAAACCCACAAACCCCTAAACCCTAAACCCCTAAACCCTAAACCCCAAACCCCTAAACCCTGCTAGTTTTATGGAGTTGAGGATGCTGCGCAGCTCAGAGGTTCAGAGCCTGGAGGCTTGTAGGTTCCCAAGAAGGACCACACGCATCGAGCCTCAATAGTAGGCTTGTTTATCGAAGCTCGCAAGATTTGGTGACCCCTTCACTTCCTTAAACGTTAAGCGTACAGGGTTTAGGGATCTATATTGCATGGCTTGGTGGCCGCCACTCGATTGACGCCTCGAAAGGTCAAGCGACTGCCCAAATTCATACTCCCTATACCGCAAGGAGTCACCCAGCAGTGCGGAAACACTGTGCCCGAGGAAGCTTCCCAGTCCGAGCATTCCCAGACCCACGGGAGGATCCAAAAAGTAGATCCCATAATGGGGGTTCCTGTAGAGTACCCCTAGTAGTAGAGGGTCCCAAATTAGGGGATCTACTTTCTAGATTCTAGATCCTCCCGGGCGTCTGGGTTCTTGAACCGTTCGGAAGATGAGGCGTCGTGCACGATGTCTTAGTCTTGGCCACTGTCAAAAGTGATGCTCTTGGTGTCCTTAACTGTCGGCGCAAATTCTCGGATGCGAAGTATTTCGTTGCCCGTATTTGGGCCAAGGCATTGCATTTTGCGAGATCACCGTGCAGCCGCATGACCGTGTGCCGAGAATGCGTGCGAAACTACTTGGGTTGCTCATGTCATTCCCCGCATGAGAATGCCCCATCGAACGTACAGATTACAGTGTTGCTGTCTTTAGGATTGCAAGCGGGTGGCTGTCAAAATTATGGTCCCTTTTTGGATCCTTCATATAATACGGCACTTTGTATGTAGGGTGCCCAACAGGGACCATGACTTTGGCAACTACCCAAACAGCTTCCGGCGCTTCCGGAAACTTCAAGCTAGAGTTGAGACGTCACAACAAGAAACATAGTCTTTCCATGAACTTCAGAAAAGCAAAAACCTCAAACCCCAAACTCCTAAGCCCCAAAGTATAAAACTCTGCGTCCTAGACCCTAAACCCCCTCACCCTACAGTGCAAACCCATAAACCCAAAAGCTCCTCCAAACTGAGACTGCAAGGGCACGGTCTGGGTAAAAAACAAGTGGTGCCCCTAGCACCCTAGCAAATGTAGGGGCCTTAATAATTGGAATAGGGTTTTGGGGGTTCCTTACTACGTTTATACTATTGTAGCATACCCCCCCCCCCCCCCCCCTGCATTATCTGCCACGAGACGAGAACGCAGACGTGGACAGGATTTCCACGGGGCCGTGGAGGAAGTTGCCTGAAGCAGTGCAAACCCTACGCCCTAAACCCTAAACGCTAAACCCCCAAACCCTAAACCCTAAACCCCCAAACCCTAAACCCTAAACCCCCAAACCCTGAACCTAATTGGAACGAGGCCTTGGCTTTGTGGTGCAGCAGCTGGGGATTTCGGAGCTGCTCTGAAACCGAAGCACGACGTCACTCTGCTAGAGAGGTAAGTTAGCCCTAAACTCCTAAACCCTAAACCCCTAAACCCTAAGTCTAAACCCTAAACCCCTAAACCCCTAAACCCTAAGTCTAAACCCTAAACCCTCAAAAAGAAGGTTACAACCACGTATGCACGTCTTTTGCTAACCGTCTCGGCTGGCTTGAGGCTATGCGCTTTTGGAGTTATGCTGTAAAGTCTCACTTAGAGGCCTTCACGATAATTACTATAGTGTTTTGGGGTATACTGCAGTATGTTTGAGTTCAAAAACCCCTACACACCTTGATGGTGAAACCCGGGTCGCAGAGGGTGCTATCAGGTTCAGGCCCACTGAACCCTACACCCTAAACCCTCAAAGCACCGAACCCTAAACCCTTAAGCCCGAATCCCTAAAGCCTAAACTCTAAACAAAACCCTAAAGCCCTAAAGCTTAAACCCCTAAACCCCTAAACTTCAAGGTTGTAAGCTCTGACAGACAGCCGGGGTGCCGTACATGTCCTTGGCCGTGTTGAGGAAGTACGTGGCACCTCGGATCTTCGAGTCTCCAGGGAATGGTAGCTGAAATTATCGCAGCGTTGTCCTTCCTCAAGCGTCGGGGCTGTCTGGGGTTAAGTTCTGCAGGTCTGCACATCAAGTTTACATCCAAAAGCCCAAACTCCCAAGCCCTAAACCGTAACCCCTAAAGACTAAACGCTAACCCTTGAAGTTTAGGGTTTAGGGTTTAGGGTTTAACCCTAAACCCTAAACCCTAAACCCAAACTCCCAAGCCCTAAACCGTAACCCCTAGAGACTAAACGCTAACCCAGGAAGTCCCCAGTCACGAAATGCCAATCCCCGAAAGCTGCGATGCGTTCGGACACCTCGAGCCAGCACAGAGGAACAGGGATCCTACATAGTGAGTATTACATACTATACTATAGCAAGTATTATACCACTGGACCCTATCAAAAATAGCTTTCCCGGCTTCCTTCTTATGACTTCCTGCATATACAAGCCTTTAAAAAGGTAAGTTGCTTGGGGTTCTGGTAGGGTTTAAGATGTAGGAGCCTACTAGACAGAGGGATTCCAGGAAGCGGGCTCCCAGCGCAAACATCGGTCCAAAACCTCGAACTCCTACATTCCAAATAATATCCGACACTCTAAGCCCGTTTAGGGTTTAGGGTGACTCGAAGCTTTATCGTGGGTCCCAGCATATCTTCCTCCTACTGTAGAAATAGTAGAAGCATAACCACCGCCAACAGGGACCCCTACTGAATGAAACTCTTGCAGCTTTGCGGGCCGCACCTTCGTCCTGGCCAGCTAGGAGACCCGAGAGACGTCCCGGAAGAAGCCTGAGGAAGTTGAGGTTTCGGGTTGTTGTACTTGGAGGGTCGGGGGACTTAGTAACTGGTTATTATAGGGACTTCTAAGTACCATAACCCCAATTAGGGTCCCTGTTAAGGTACTTATAAGTCTACTTACTGCCTACTTACTAAGTCCCCCGACCCTCCAAGTAGGGTCCTGGGACGCAGGATGTCAGAGTTGCTGTGCTTAGGGTTTAGGGGGTTTTGGTGGGTTTAGTGTGGCATACATGAGAAGCTGCCCCCACCCTGTAATAGTGACTATAAGGATTATATTAGGGCCCTACTATATTCCTACTATACCACTATTACAGAGTGGGGGCAGCTTCTAAGGCATACACCCGAAACTTCAGAAACACGTAACCCAGCTTAGGGCCTTTCATCTCATCAGGTTCTCAGGGTTTGGGACCGAAAGGCCCATGCGGTTCGGGGATGTTGGGATTTTGGGAACTTGGGTTTACCTTAAGCCGGAATAGCCTACCTTTTTAAGGACTTAAATAAGGAAATCATATTAAGGAACCCTAAAAAGGTAGGTTATTCCGGATGAAGGTAGGGTTTAGGGCCAATTCGCAAACCTAAAATCTAAAGCAAACCTAGAACGAGATCTGCAAGCTTATGTCCTAATCGAGTGAAAGAATCCTAATCGGAGCTGTAGCACTGAACATTCACGACCTGGCTCTCTAAAACTTACCCCTAAACCCTAAACCCTAATTCCGAAACCCTAAACCTTACAAAACGGCCCGAAACGGACGAACCCCGAAGCGTCGAGCTGCACGGTGTCCACATCCACTTTCACCGTATAGTTGTACTTCCTCGCGGGTGCTTGGGCGGGTGAAAGGCCCTCGAGTTCGACTTTTGGATTTTGTCGAAAGGGTAATCCCCAAAAAGTTGCAAACCTGTTTAAGGACAAATAGTGCCGGGATTCCCTAGACATTACTCTTCAGGATTGAGGCTATTGGGTTTCCAACTTGTGGGCTTCTACTGTATTTGGTCGTTACCAGCGAAATATTGGGCTGTATGTCCGTCACTACAGCCTTCGATGTCCAAAGAAACGTTCCTGAAGATCTTGCCTTAAGCTATAGTAGAAGCCAGCAAGTTGGAACGTCGAACTCCTCATGCCCTTAAGGTAAAAGTAACAGGGATCCTAGAACTAATCCTCCTAAACCCATATTCCAACTTTCTGGGATTCACTATGCTTCTCAAGTCTCGATGGATCCTTCTAGGGTCGGATCCTCAATCCCCATCCACGGCTGCTTAATGTAGGGGCCTTAATAATTTCAATAGGGTTTTGGGGCCCTACATTATATAACGGTTCATTCAAAGCAAAGGCAAACAGCGTTTGGAATGTACATTCAAGTCACTACTTGGTGAGACCCCATGTTTAGAGAACCCCATGTCTGCGTTGTGTACTCGGAAGATGACGTGCTCTTCGGAAGTGGCACATGCAACGTGGGGATCATCGACACCCTACGCAATCGGAGCTTTATGGTCCCACATGTTGCAGCTTAGGGCTGTTCAAATCTCACACACCCTAAAGCCCCTAAACCCTAAACCCTAAACCCTAAAGCCCCAAAACCGAAACCCAAGACCCCCACAATCCGACTAAGTGTAACCCTGAGCCATGACTGTCTGGTGCTTAGTAGGAAATGGGGGAATGGATCCCTACTTGGAGGGTCGGGGGACTTAGTAAGTAGGTAGTAAGTAGACTTATAAGTACCCTAAAAGGGACCCTAATTGGGGTTATGGTACTTACAAGTCCCTAAAATAACCAGTTACTAAGTCCCCCGACCCTCCAAGTGGGGGAATGGATCCCTATGATAGTCCCTTAAGGTCCCTTATAGTCGTCCCATTAACCCATTCCCCCATTCCTTACTAAGCACCAGAACCCTTTTAGCAACCCTTACTATAAAACCCTTTAAACGAACCCCAAAGAACCCTACCCTTTAAACGAACCCCAAAGAACCCTTATAGTACCGCTTATAATAAAACCCTTTTCCATGAACTTCAAAGCCGCTGCAACAGCCAGGATGCTTGTAGACACCAGCTTCGGCCAGCTTCTTCCAGAAGTGCCTCGTCTCAACCTAAACCCTAAACCCAAACGCTAAACCCTAAACCCTAAACCCTAAACCCGTAAACCCTAAACCCTAAGTCTCAAGCAGCTCGAAACTGAACCTGGAGCATCCTGAACGGAAACATGGGAGCTTCCGAAAAGTAGGGGGATACATTTAAAAGGATCCTTTAAGGGTTCCTTTAAAAGGATCCTTTAAGGGTTCCTTTAAAGGGATCCTTTAAGGGTTCCTTTAAAGGGATCCTTTAAGGGTTCTTTTAAAGGGATCCTTTAAGGGTTCCTTTAAAGGGATCTATAAGGGTTCTATGAAGGGATTAGGGTGTAGAGTTTCGGAAAATTGGGAGGGTGTCTTATTTGGGGTCCTTATAATAAGGATCCTACTATGTAGGGGTACTTTTTTGGGGTCCCCTATTTTCGGAAACTCCAGAAAAGGGGCCTGAATAATTGGAATAAGGCTTTGGGGTTGGATCGGAAATTCGTCTGAGGCGAACGAAGCTTAAGATAACTGGTGCATCCGTAGAAAGCTGAGCTGCTTATGAGCTACGACTAGCTATACTAGTTTGTTCAGTATGCCTTCTATGTGTCGCAACATGGAGTCATATTTTAATGACCAGTTACCGAGCATCTGTACAGGAAAATGAATGGCGCTGTAACATCTGCGAGTAATGTTACGTGGTAGGTTTTGGGGTACGAGATAATAAAGAGCCGCAAAAGAGTATTGCCTATTATTGCAGCTATGCTTTGTGCATAACACTAACTTAATGCCGAGCAGCAGGAAGATCGGCGTGTTTGCCAAGTGCTTCTCACCCTGCAAGGCTGCGAGTGGAGCGAAGGCCACGGCGCCGTAAAACCCGAAACTCGAAAATTGTCAGCCCTACACATTAAATCGATCCTAATGGCGTTCTACTGGCAAGGCCGATCTGGATGTACAGCTAGCCATGTCCTTGCATTCCTAGCTGTTGAACGCCCCGTACTTTGGCCCGATAGTTCAGCCTTGTCATAGGGACCGGAATGCCAAGAGGAGGGCTTCGGGGTACAGCATGGTCTGAGTACAACGGTTTAGGGGTTTAGGGTTTGGGGGTTTAGGATTTAGGGGTTGGGGTAGAAGTATATAGCCTTTGCAGGGTACAATTTGAACACTTGTTGAGACCCCTGTACTGTATTGCATTGAGCCGCCCCTGCGGAACTCAGACTTCTAGTTGCTCAAGCAATCCTGAACCTACATGGGAGCTTCCGAAAATCAGGAGTAATTACCGCATTTTGGGGTCCTTAGAATACTATTTAGGGTACTATATCAAGGTGCCCTATTTTCGGAAGCTCCCACATCCCCAAAGCAGTAAACGAGAACAACACCGGGCTGCCGTAAGATGCATTGACGTGCCTGTGCGGAGCCCCAAACCCTAAACCCTAGGCCCTAGGTATCGCGAACCTGGCGTGGATGCAAGTAGATTCTTGCCGGCAATGCATCCCAACTCCTTTGGGTAATGTACCCTGAAAAATCGTACGCCACCCGGATAATCAGGACCCGAAAAGGGATGCTAATTTAGAGAACTGCCCTATCCTGACACTACACTCCCGGCCTTGTTGCCCAGCTGCTTGGGCGAGCTGGGATCGAACCCTGCAAGCAGCTTGGGTCGTTTTAGAATCTCTTTTAGGATCCTGTTTAGACGGGTGCCGTACTATCCTTGTGGACCTAAGTCTGGACCCTCATTCAGAGAATTACCTACTTGCTGAGAGAAAGGTGGAACTTAAACTTACTGATGTCGGTTCTTCTGCTGGCAGGCTGGCAGGGGTTGACTCTCTTTAGCTGAAAGCGTCTCCATCAAAAACAGTCTTTTTCTTTCAATACAGCCTTCTGTTGTATGTGCGGATGTCGGCGGTATTCGGGTTTTGCGCCGGTGCCTTGAGACATGCCTCTTAGAGCTTAGGGATTGTGTGGTTATGGTTCAAGCTTCGGGGTTGCAGCTGGGCGACCTCTTCCCGAAACCCTAAACCCTAAAACCCAAACCCTAAACCCTAAACCCCAAACCCTAAACCCTAAACCCTAAACCCCAAACCCTAAACCCCAAACCCTAAACCCTAAACCCTAAAACCCAAACCCTAAAAGTCGGAAGCTTCCCTGCGCTGCAATCGCAGACCCTCAGCACAAGCATCCAAAGATTAGGGCTTCGGGTTTAAGACTCTATAGGCTATACCTTATAACCCGGAAGAACCTACCTTTTTGAGGACTTCTATAAGGAAATCATCATAAGGAACCCTAAAAAGGTAGGTTGTTCAAGGTAGGGTTGAGGGTGTCGGGTTACGGGCTTAGGCCTCTAAACCCTGGAACCTACACTCAACCCTCCACAGCCCTGCGCTTCACTGGACCCCTGACAACCCTAAACCCTCAACCCCAAACCCTAAACCCTAATCCCCAAACCTAAACCCTAAACCCTAAACCCCAAACCCTAAACCCTAAACCCTAAACCCCAAACCCCAAACCCTAAACCCCAAACCCTAAACCCCAAACCCCAAACCCGCAACCCTGAACCCTAAACCGATATGCTTCACAACCCGGCCTGGGGGTCCGCGTAGCATCGGTGCAAAGAGGGTGGTGTCGATTTCATAGACCTGCCAGGAGATCGGCCACCGCAAATATTGCAAAGAAAAGTTAATTCAACACATGCAAGGAAGGAACATACGATACGTTCATTATAAAAGACGTAACAAAATGTGATATGATATCATATAGCGTACCATAATCTACCAAATATAAAAGCACCTCAGCAACAGTATGAATGACGGTGGCAACAGTCGAGGGAGCGACAGCACAGGAATAGCAGCAATGGCAGCACCACTCGTCTCGGTACCGGTATTGGCAAGGGTTTAGGGCTTGGGGTTCAGGGTTTAGGGTAATTGGTGGCGGCACTGGTGGTAGAAACAGTTGTTGTCAGAAGCATCAGCTGCTGCTGGTTGCGCATTCGTGGCTGCTTCTGCTTCTTTCTTCTCGCGTTGCGCTACCACCCTGAACCCTATAAACCCTAAACCCGGAAGCCTAAACCCTGAAGCCTAAACCCTAAGCCCTGAACCCTAGATCGCCTAAGCCCTAATGCCACATCCACTGAGACTGCCCAGCTGCCGGGCGCGCCTGGCCTTGAGACTTGGCCTGCGCCCTCACGCTTCGATTCATGCACCAAGTCAGCAAACCCCAAACCCCACGCTCCCAGCCACAAGCCATCCTATAAAGTGTATGTGTATAAATGTAAGTAATGTTAAACCTTTCACCACCAGCAGTTTTCCCACGTAGCCGCCTTCGACGAAATCTCTTTCAGCAGGTTGTCCTTACCAGTGCCGCATGAAAGACTGCTTAGGTGAGCTGCCTTGAAAGCTTGATCGCTTGGGGTGTGGAGGTTCACGGGTTTCAGGGATTTCAGGTTTCGACTGAAGGGTTGAGGGGAACGGTGCAAGAAGTGGGACTCTGGAGACTCCTTCACCTGTTCCCCCCCACCCACACACACAGACAAACCTCACGAACTTGTTTGTAATGGTCAAGTGATCATGGCTATAGGCTGTAACCCGTCGTATAGCGTATACCAGCAGTGTCGGGTAGTATCAACGTATTATGGGGTTGTGACCTTTCAGACTTTCAGATGCCAGAAGAGCGTTGTAAGACCGACAACCAACAAACCTACATGTTTAATGCCTTACAGAACAAACACAAGGTGCGCAAAGGAGTCCAAAAATATCAAGGCACGCTACTTTGGGTACAGGTTGATTCCACAAGTGAGCTTGAACTGCGTTGTGTTATGCCAACGGCTGAACAGGATAGCATCATATCTGGATAAAAGGACAGAAGCAAGACCCAGCCTCCAACTGCCAAGTACGCAAGTCTCAACCCCTATCCCCGAAACCCTGATTCGAAGTTTTCTGACTTATCACCTCTCCAGCCGAAACTCATGGCCAGCGAACAATCTCCGGGCCGAGACGTTGCTAACGATGGCAAAGTCGTCGCATTCTGAGCACGGCTTGAGGGGTAATGAGTGTAGTTTAGAAGGGGCCCCCACCCTGTAATAGTGGTATAATAGGAATATAACAGGGCCCTAATATGATCCTTATAGTCACTATTACAGGGTGGGGGCCCCTTCTAAAGTGGTGGTTCGCGGGGTTTCGTAGCGTAGTAATACAGGGGCCTTAATAATTAGAATAAGGTTCTGGGGCCCATTGTACTACAGTTATAATAAGGAATCCCCACCAATAGTATAGGTCTTCTTCTTCTTCTCGCGGACTTGAGAGTCTTCCCGAAGGGCTGACGCGTCCCAAAACTCATGCATTAGTGAAACAGGGTTTGAGCCCCCAGAACGAGACTGTGGACTGTCTCGGACCTTCTGTGCTAGCACTGTCCAAATAATCTCTGAGCCACTGCAACGTTGAAGCCTTAGGCTTAAACGGAGTGGCAAGTTCAGAAAGTGTGATCTGGTCTTCAGCGCTCGAGGGATCCGGTAGTCGCTCGTCTGCAGTAGGGAGCAAGGGCCCGTGGAGAAAGGTGGACTGACAGGGTGCAGAAAAGGATTTCCATGAGCCCAAACGGAGCCGTTTAGTGGCTTCATGATCCGCTTTCTCAACCTGTCGGATCGTGTCGTGATCCATGGGCTCAAAAAGATGGGCGCATCTCCAGAGGCATTGTGGGCGGCCTCGTAAGTGCATCTGGACTCTAGCCACGGTTCCATAGTGCTTAAGACAGGCCAAGCAATGCGTGGTGGGCGCATAGTGCCTGGAAGGGCTGAGCACAGAATGGGTACGTGCTAGATGGACGCCCAAATGTTTGCGCAGGACAAAGGAGGATTGGCAGTAGGGGCATGTGCATGGTCGAGAGACAGGCTCCGGAGGCGGAGGGTGCGAGCGGTCTTGCCCGGCTACCCAGCGCCTAAGATGCTGCTGAAACTCCTTTCCTGCCTTGACAGTTTGGTGAAGCCACCAACGGGGCTGTTCCACCAGAGCAGCGAGTATGGCAGGTACAACATTGTCCTTGGGCACACAGTTGGCAACATCAGGGACGTAAAGGCAAACGGCCTCAAAATCTTGCTCTAGCTGGTGAAGCCAAGAGGACCGCTTATGGCAACTCCAATGCGCATAGAGAAGATATGTGAGGACAGTGGGTCCCGCTGCACTAAGGCGTGCCAGAAAGCTTGCTCGGGCACGGGCTAGGGCCAAAGGTGGCGATGGTGCCTGAGCAGCGCAAAGAACACGGTAGGCGTGTATGCTCTTAGTGGCAGACTGTCGCGTAAACAAAGATCGCCACAGCCCAACATATTGTTGAGACCATAAACGACGATGAAACGCCGCCTGCAGGAAGATCGCTGCCCCAGTGTGGGCAAATTTGGATATAGCCAAAGAGCGGAGTAAAGTCCGTCTTGTGGCAAGTGGAATGTCTCGGCAGGCAAACAACCGGCGACGTAGAGGCTTAACCACAGCCAGGGCACGGGAGTGCCGGTGATGGAGATCAACAACCGGCGAGGCGTTCGCAGTGATAATACCTCCAAGATGCTTGTAGGCATCGACTAAGAGCAACACATGTTCGTCGCGGGTAAGGGCATCAACGATTGGTATGTAGACGTTGCCTTCCTCAGTGAGGCACTGGGGTGGCAAGTCTCGCGGAATCCATGGGGGAAGCAGTGCGGCGGTTTTTTCCCTCTCAAAGGTCAGCTTCATGCCCAGCGTAGAAACCTTGGCAGAGACTAAACCAACCGAAAGCTGAACTCTACTCAGAAGAGCATGAGGGGTGGCCCCGTCAATTGGTTGCACGAAGTCGTCTGCCCACGCCGGGCAGCCCCATCCAACGGGATCCGAAGTGTCAGCCCACTGGTGGGGAACATCAACGGTGGGAACATGGGGAATCAGCCCGGCGGAAGCCATTGCTGTATCAATGGATCGCAGCAGGGCTGACATGGCTAGTCCAAACACAGCGTCAGCGGCGGGATCACCGGGTCTGGTGCCCCGTTCCGTGAGGGTGAGGAGGGCACTGCCGGTGATGCGGAACCAAGTGCCCTTGTACAAGTCCTGCACAAGGGCAGTGACATGTGGGCTGGTTTTGAGCTGCGGCAGCAAAGCCAAACCGTGCAGTTTGTCTCGCAACTCAATTACAGCTGCTGGCGGCAGCGCCATACGGTGCAAAAGTTCTAGCAGGCCTTCGTCAGTGTGAGTGTGGGGGGTAATCAATTCCCGTATGATGGAGTAGAAGGCAGCTTGAACGTCGTAAAAGACGAGGGCCCAGGGCTCTCTGCGAGCCTCATGCAGGTGCATAAAGCTTTGCGCTGCAAGGGAGATATGCTCAATGCCCTCGTTTGGGATGGCTCCCGCTTGGAGCGCAGGGCGCGATGCTTGAAGCCTTTCAATAAGTTGCCCCCTCAAGCGTCTATGAAGGACCTTTCCGGGCACGCTGCTAATAAGGATACTGCGGTAGCTACTGCACCGTAAGGTAGCACCGGCTTTCTTGGCGAGGCATACCAGTTCTCCGCCTCTGAAGAGTACTGGTTCTCTTATACCTGCAGTGGCCTTCAAGAAGACAGCGAAAAGCTGTCGCGCGGTAGTAGGGACATGGAGCTGCAGCAATTCGCTAGTGATGGAATCAGCCCCGGCTGCTCTCCCGGTACGCAGCGTAAGGGTGATGGCTTCAACTTCCCCAAGCGTGGGTAAGGCTCTGATGTCAAAGAGACAGGGTCCCGTCCCGGTGGGGAGATTTCGCATATGTTCGATATATTGGGTGCTCGTGATAGCTTTACCCGTTTCCTGAGCTGCGAAGTGGTCACGCCAGGTGGCAATGCGGTCCTCGGCCGTAACGGCAAGTTCGCCGGAGGGCGTTTCAACTGCTGGCAGTGCCTTAATGGATGAGCGCTTAGCCGGCCTGGTGGTCGGGAAAGCCTTGCGGACTGCGGCATACAAGCGCTTGGGGTTGCGCACATCTTGGAGGGACACCTCGCTAGCGAGTTGCTGCAAGTAGGCACGGCGATCCATCGCGACCTGTCGTCGTAATAGCTCTCCGGCATTGTGGAATCGGTGCCAGGCTTCCGCCTCACTGTAGTCAAGATCTGCCGTCCACCGAGCAACGGTGGCTAGTTGCTCCGGGCTAAATGAGCTGCCTCGGACAAGAAGCAGCCAGGCTGCGAAACATGCGATGAGACGACAACGTTGCCGATCTCCAGCCTCCTGCTTGAGATACTGTCGTAGGCCCTGTCGTAAGTGCACAAGATGCTCGCTGGCTGGACTGATGTAAGGCTGGGTTGGCTGACGGGTGGTTGTGGGTTCCCACTCACCACCGACATTTCGCCAGAAGGCCGCAAGGCTGTGGTAGTGGTCATCTACATCTACATGCCAAGGCGGTGGCACGAAACCTCCAAGCTTCTGCTGCAGGTGGGCCATCATCTGCGAGTTGTCGGGTCGAATTGGCCTGACCGGGGAAGCCAATTTAGGCTGGTAAAAAGCTGGGGGTGCTTGCAGCGAGCCGGTGCATCGAAGATGGACTGGGAAATGATCATCTTTGGCCTGCAGCAGTTCTAAATGAGTAAGAACTCGGGTCTGGAGGGAGAAACTACTCCAATGCTGTGGAACCAGGAAGTAGTCGATGCGGTGGCCATCCCCAAATGGTGACACCCAGGTGGCACTGGGTCCGGAGTGAATGTCAGGAAAGGTTGTAGGGAGGAAAGCTGCCAGGGCATGCAGCACCTCATGAAGAACCTCGCCCGGAGGGTTTTCGGTTTCACTGCCGTACGGGCCAACACACTCGGAGGTAATGCTGCCCACACGGGCATTGGCGTCAGCCAGCACCAGGAAATCGTATCCAGGTGGTCGACGGGTCAAATCATGGACTCGCTGCCGCCAAAAGCCTTCATACTCCGAAATGGGTGCCTTAGCAGCTGATGGACAGTGCGCAACAAGTACGACAAGATGCAAGTGTGTCGCAGAAACAGTGACCGCCAGATGCCGTGGAGAGGCACTGAGCACATTAACCGCATCTGGAGTGACAAAACAGGGCTTACCGGCACAGTAAGCATAGGGCACATGCTTAGCGATCCACAGCGCGCAACCACCTTGCCCGCGCTCTGTTGCACTGGATTGCAAGATGAGGTAATCATTGTCCGGTTGGACACTGTCCTCTGGTAACCGTGTTTCTTGCATTCCCACAAACAGAGGGGACAAGTCGTTGAGCTGCGCCTTGAGAAGGGCTTTGCGTCCTGGTAAGCGCATGCCGATGTGCTGGCGTTGTTGGGGGGCCGCGGTATCGCGGAGCGTGAGGACATTATAGGTGATGGCTGCAAAGTCATAGGAACACTTGGCAGCTCTGATGTGTTGCACCGGCGGTGCAAAGGGCGCGCAACCCGGACGGTCGTCCAGAATTTGCATACGGTAGGCCTCCGTTTGGAGGCTGAAGAGCGTAGGTACATCCCATGAGGTGTCGAAGAGCATCCATGCCCATGCTGCGAGCCCATGCTCGACCAGTAACGCTGGCCAAAGAGGCAGCAGACGGTTCCACAAATCCTCGGGTTGCCGTCTCGCTTGTTTGGCGAGTTGGTCAGCCAACTCATTTTGTAGCACACCTGCATGTCCTTTGACATGTTGGTGTGTCAAAGGGACTACACAGCTGGCGATCTGTCGAAGGTGCACCAGATGGTGTGCAAGATCTGAGGCTTTCCCGGTACCGGGCTCGGCGGGCAGCTGCCAGTCGCCAAACGTACCCCGGCCTGCGACGAGAGAGTCATAATGCATGGTAACGGGGCATTGATAGCCCGGAGCCCATTCTACAATCCAGCTGAGTGCCCAGAATAGTGCAAGCTGCTCGGCGACTTGCGGCGTGTCGCTGGCCTCCCCTACATGATAAGGGGTGCCCGGAGGGGTGGCGGTGCCACTGGCGTGGCCAACAAGGACTGTGCCTGCTGAGGTGGAGGCCCACACACCGAAAGCCCACGCACATGGTAGCAGATCATTGACATCTTGTGCGGCGGAGCCGTCAGTATAAATGTCAATATGGACAAGTGTGGGCCGCCCAACAGAATCCCAAGTGGACGTGTTGACAAGGGCCGTACGCAATTCCAGTGGCACTTTACGGTCCTGGAGAAGAGGCTCGAGGTCATTATCCAGCCAATCTTGCCCTTGTGGCCGAAAGCGAAAGGCCAAAAGGTTATCCAGCGCAAGGACATCTTGCTGAAACGGTGTGGTTGGCACGATGTCAGCAAGTCGGATCTGGGTTGGGCAGGTTGGGTCATCATAAACCGAAGCAGGTCTATTTGGGGCTAAGTGCTCAGGTTGAGCAATGTGTGCCTTCCCCGCGTCATGTCGGTCGGCCTCATAGTGCTCAATTAGCACCTCCAGCAAGGTAGCCGCATGCATCATGGCTGGAGAGGCCGGATCCTTGATGGCCTGCTCCAACAATGTGGGTCCCGGGATCTGCTGTGCATGCTCATCCTGCCGTGCTGTGTCCCAGTACGATCCACTTCGACATGGCGTGGGCACTAGCCGAGGTTTGGGGAAATGTTGATGCGAAAGTACACTCGACTGGCACGTAACAACTGGTAGGGCCGTCAAGCCATGATCTGTGGGTGCAGCTCGTACGGTTTGCGTGCCAAGGCAGCAGAGAAAAAGCAACAGAGATGCGTTGGGCTTGCTGAGGAGTCGGGCACAGAGATGTAGAGGACAGCAAATACAGTACATAAAGACGGCACAAGCGGCACCAGACGCTAGTAGGCACAGGAGGACAGGGGTGGCATTGCGCCTGCCTTCAACAAAGGCGTCCCGCAAAGAAGCATAATGCCACTTGACTACTCGACTATGCCAAAGTGTGCTGCGTCGGTCCCTGCGCACAGCGTCATCATTGCAACGCAAGAGCGACCTGCCGTCACAGTAAATGGTGCGGTAGGTGCCATCTGTTCCAGCATCATACGTAGTCACAGGGTGCGCTGCACCACCAGCACGGGCCTGAGGGGGGGCGCCGGGTGCAGACGACAAGTTGTGTGACCTGGTTTCGCCGTCAGGAGAATCAGGCGGGGAACTAGGTGGAGGGGTGGGAGGAGGCGCCTCAAGTGCCTGAGTCCGAGTGAGGTACTCAATGGTGATGATGTCACCGTCCTGCACTCGGACGGGGAATTGCAATGGCCGCGGTCGCGACCCGTTATGGGTGTACCCCAGTACATGACCAATGGGGCACCTGGCTTGGTGTCGCGCTTGAAGGGGGCCTGGTTGCATCAAACCATTGGGCGCAGAAATCCACGCATACCCGAGTAGGATCGGGCGTCTGTCCAGTACAACAATGGGTGCCCTGGGGGTATGGTATGTGTTGCCCGGGGCGGCCAGGGTAGCAACAAGCAGACCTCTGAGAAGAGCGCCTGTCTGCATGTGGTCAAAAACAGGCATTTGTGCGGGGACAAGAATCAGCTGCGCTGGCACGCACTGCAGTAGCTGCGCCAAGTCCTGGCGAAGAAGGTGGCCGCGCCCGCGCCGCATAACATGGATGAAGCTGCCGGCATCGCTCATGATCCAAGTGTTGTTTCTGTGGTTACCAGGAAATGCAGGCGGTGGTTGCCACACGGCGGGGTCCCTAATCATATCACTGAAGTCTGCGGTAACGAAGAATCCATGTCCTCGTGGCATCAGCAACAACAAATCAGCTAAGTGAACCTGGATCTGTGTGTCGGCATCCATGGGCCAGGGAGTGTTGTTATGGTAGACAAGGATGTTGGTGTCGTCATTGACGCCTGCCAGTCGCAGCACATCAGCTCTCGTGACAAGAGGAGGTACGTCGAGAGCGTAAAGCCGATTGTCTACCCGGCTGTCGAAGCATGCAATTATCCCAGGGGAATCCCAAGAGGGGCTAGCTACCAGAGTACCCCAATGAGGGAAGGTCTGAGTGCACACAGGGAGCAGCCTAGGAAATCGTCGGCGTGGGTCTGGCATACGTGCCGCCGACACAATAGCGAGCAAAGCATGTGGTGTCTGAGGAATGCTGACCCTAATTGTGACAACCTCGGGCACATATCCCGGGGCTAGAGCAAGGAAGGTTGCTTCGACAAACTGGCCGATCGCACGAGGGGCTGGCTCGATATCGTCTGCAACGGTATTTTGCCTCGGGGTATCAGCAGGGTGCTCCGCCTGAGTGGCAGTAGTGACCGCATCGACGGAGCTGTTGGCCGCACCAGAAGAGAAAGCGGTAGGCAGCTGGACATCATCTGGGGGCGGGCGGACAGGCAGGGTTTGTAGGGAGGGAGCTGCTCGTGGCTCAACCTCTGCTAGCAAGACCTGCCCTGGCAGAACGGGATACAAGGCTTCACCTGTGGGTATCTCCGGAAAAACCACAGCAAAAGCCTGGGGCGCAACTGTCTGGATGGCATCCCTTGTGCTTTCGACGTGGAGGTGGCCATCGGTGATGAATATCGTTCGCCATCCTTGCAGGAGGGGGCGACAATCAATCATGATCAGAAATGCGCGGCCCGAGGGTGTCACGGTGCTGACATCAGTAACAGCTAACACTGTGCGGCAATGAACTCCTTCTAATGCGACATTGGTAACCCGAGGGCTGGAAGGGAAAACCGAAATGTCATCCCGTTGAAGACCTAGAGCAGCCGCAAGCTGGCGACGGTACTGCGTAGGCCGATTTTGGTCATACTCAAGGAGTAGGTGTTGATCACCCTGTACGACACAGTAGGCCACTCGGTCATCAGGCGGAAAGTCGAAGTCCTGTGCCCACATAGCAGGGTGCTGCATCATGACTTCAACCTGGACCTGAAGATCCGGCTGGTGTCCGGTAGGGGATATGGTCAGTGTCAATCCCTGCCGGGCATGCTGAGGGTGCTGGCCAAGCGGTGTAAGGTCATCTCCAAGGTACACATGTACAGGATGTTGCTCTGAGAGGCCTGCAATGCTGAGTGCATCTGTCCTGGTCAAGTACGTGGGACATACCGTGGCAAAGGCCCTGCCATCCCATCTTGTAAGATCGATAAGGAGTATGCACTTATCAGGGTCCCAGTGTGGTGCTGCTACCCATGCGCTGGCCCCTGAAATTGTTTGTGGTCGCGCAGGAACAAGCTGCGGGAAGTTGCGAGCCTGGGATGGCTCCCTTTCTGCCTGGATCATTGCAGTGCCTTCTGCCAACGTGGCAGGAAAGCGGAAAGCCACGGTCAGGAATTCAGGATCGGTCCCAGGAGTGTAGATCAACGCAGTGGCCCACGCGATGGATTCCGTGTCAGAGGCTTCTGACACAGGAGTGGGTGGCTCATCCGGGTTGAGGCCATGTGGCTGGTAAGCAGGATCGTATGGCCAGATGAGTCCGAGAGCTGTTGTGGCTTGTCGTAGGCTGCTTAGCCTGGAGTGCTCGGCGGGTGTGGAGCAGCTGGGTTCACAATAAGTCTTGCACTGTCGCAGGTGTCTGCCCAAGACAAGTCCCAAGAATAGCAGCATCCCCACACTCCCCCAGAGTCGAATGAGTGGACGACCAATCTGGTCGAAGATGCTGTCTCGATAGCCGGTTGGCCTCCGAACACAGGCGTAGGTCAGTAGGCCGTGCGAGTGCATGCTTAAATCGAGGTGGGCTGGTTGCGATCGGGTGGAGTCACCGAAGCAAATAATACCTGAGACCAGAACGATGAGGGCAGCAACCGAACAAAGACGCATCAATGCTGAACGAGGAACTGCGGCAGACTGTTGCCGTGGTGGTGTGCGGCTGCGTGAGCGCGCAGTGGCGCCATCGAATCTTGGGTCGTCATCAAAGAGATGCTCGCCGTCAGAATCTGCTGGCGCCGTAGTGGTGTCCTGACCCATGGTATCTGCCGAGTCGTCACTGGGATCAGCGCCATCGGAGGAGTCTTCAGACTCAACATCCTCTTCATGCTGAGATGGCGACGTGAGAGGCACGAACTGGGCAATCAGTACCTGTCCTGGCACCAGCAGTAAGTCATCGTCGTCAATCTCAGCTCCATCGATTTGCACCTGATGCTGAGCGGGCATAAAGTGACCTAGTTCTTGAACAAGGTCGGAATGCGAGTATCGCCCGTGCTGAAACTGCAACAAATGCCATCCTTGGAGGATGGGTCGGCAGTCAACAAACGCGACATCCTGACGATTGTTTGTTGCTGCGACAATGCTGCGGCAAGTAACACCGTCAAGAACGACATCATGGTGACAGGGCACTGCAAATTGTAGCCGCAGGTCTGTGGTGGCAATGCCAAGAGTTTCCGCAAGTTCTGTCTTGAAGGGGGCCTCTGCATGTGCAAAGTCGTGCTGGCGATGCCACGCATGTGTGACAAGGCAGAATGTGCGGGTGGTATGCCCGCCAACAGGCGGGGGCATGGTGCAATTGAACCAGGAGTAGGGTGTGCAGAGCATAGCCCGGAAGGAATGGCCAACCGAAGGGTCTGAATGTTTCGGCACGAAAAAGATGACCCGGTAGGGCTCAACCTCAAGAATGTCGCTGTCATCAAGGGGACGAGCATTGCCGTAGGCATACACATCGACTTCATCAGCGGAAACCTTGGCAGAGCGACACAAGTATTCTCGAGTAAGTTCAAAGGCCGTGGTTGCAGCATACAACCGACCATCAACACGAAGGAGGTTGTATATCAGGATGGGCTCCTCATGCGCCCAGGCAGGTAGGGCAAGAGCGACGCCCCACTGTGGGGAAATCTGTGGAATCACCTCTCGCACCTGGGACCAGTGCAAATACACGTCATGTGGCATGGCAAGTGCAACAGCATCGAGAGCATCCTGCGCGGAAGCTGGTGCTTCAAACTCGCAATGCACTGTGAGATTTTCGCATTCCGGCCTTAGCACAAGAAAAGTAGCTCGAACGGTGGCGGTAGAGCATGTGCCGTCGTCACTTTTCAGATCTTCACCTGGTTGGGGGCTAGCCTCTGGCATTGGACCCTGGGGTGCATATGCGATAGCATCGGTAGACCTTGATGCCTGTGCGGGCTCGACAGCTTCAGTATGTAAAGTCGGACAGACTTCAAATACAGTTCCTTCAGTAAACATGGCAAGGTTGCCGGACTGCTGTCCGCTGGTGATGCTGAGTGGGCCTGCATAGGCGGCTTCAGCTTGTAGCACTCGTAGGTACTGAGCGATATCTTGAATGCCTTCTCCTTCAAAGAACGGCCGAACGTGATGACCAAATGACCGGCAATCAAAAAACGCATACACGCCTAGATTGGGTCCTGGCAACAAGTTTTCAGACCGTACAGACACCGCAACGATACCATGTACCCGATAGCCATGATGCAGGAAGTCAGAAACAAGACAGTCGGGTGCGGGATCACTGATGCACATGTATTCCGGCTGTCGTTCGTACTCGGCTGCGATGCGGTGATGAAGAACTGCAGTGCTGTGTTGGCCCGGTATCACAGTGTGGCGGTGCTCACTGATAGCCAGCCAAAAATGAGGCGGTCGTTCTTGTTCCATTACGATCGGGTGTCGCTCCCATCGCTGTGGTGCCTGAAGCAATTGATGCAAGTTGCCTAAGGCGCGGGGCTGGCTTCCGCGAGGCAGTATGCGGACTACTTCGCCAGTGGCAACAGTATGGCCTTGCTCTGTTAGGACTGTGGCGTCCGGTAATACGGCCTCCCACAGTTCTGCAGTATGCTGCTTGACCTCCTTGGCAAGGTCGTAAGGGCAGAGACACTTATCGCAGAGTATGGCGTATGCGGGTCCGCTGAAGCCAATGAAATCTAGAACAACAACTCGCTTATCCGTGTGTTCGACCCATTTCGGAACAAATACAGCTTTAGCATAAGTGGCTTTGTCTGGCAGAGACGCTGGTACATAATAACCTTGTCGCGCAGCCAAAGAATGCTCTGCTGTTGCATCGAGTTTATCCAGGGCCTCAACTTGAGTGGCTGGCAAGGGCAGCTCGATAGTAACTTGTTGAGATGTCATGGCCAGGCGATACACATGGAATACGAGTTGCTTACTTCCCCTAGCATCAAGCTGCGTAGGGGGTGCAGTTAGGGCTGGGGATTGTGGGCAAAGAGGGGTAGTGAGCACATCAGGCGGGTCGGGACCTGAAAACAGTTGCAACTCCTCTGAAAGGCCCTGCGGTGCAGCCCAAACACATCGTGGCGTCTGAAGAAGGGCAAAAAGAAAAGCCCACAACCTGCATCTGGTGGGAACCTTGCACAGCTGCTGAGAACCCTTGGTCGCACGAAATCGCCGATATGGCCGGGTCTGAGTGATGTGCATTGAGGCATGCCTGGGGCTAGCAGCCAGACCAACAGAAAACAGGATGGAAATGGGGACGCCGACAGCCGGCAGTACAATGACGCGGCAGAGGGGAGAAGGTGGTTTAGGCAAGGTCCAAAAGAGCAGCTTCCATAAAGCCATAAAGCTGATTGCAAACAATGCTCGAAAGAGTGGGACGAGGAACTCTGTGAGGTACGCCAAAATCGCCCACAAAATAGTGCCACAGTCATTGCTGGTGTGCACTATTGGTAGAGTCCATTGTTGAGGCGGTCGCCTTTCAAAGTGGGCGCCTTGGCGATGCAGCCTACAATTCAACCCCTGAGTGGTAGTCAGCCCAGAGCCACCGATCTGACTTTTCGGCACGCACATGCGATGGGGTGTAGTTGGAAGTGAAGCTCCGTCCGTACGGTTCGGACTTGCTGGTATTGAGAGCACAGTGGGTGCTGGCAGTTGGCAGTCATGGTGAATTGCTGCCAAAGGCGGGGGGGAGCAACGAAAACCAAAAACCCAATGGCATCGCTGCTCCCGCGAGGAAGAACGTGACCCATCTGCAAAGACTTTCAGCCAAGACAAAGCTGAGTCAAAACAGTGGGTCTGGAGGTGATGTCTGAAAAAGGGGGCTGAAGGACAGAGAGATCCCTCATGCGCATCCGACCAAGGTGCTGTACAAAGCCATTCGCCACTCACTGAGGGTGAGAAACGAGGTACTCCCCGAGTAGGTCCCACAAGTTCCTCCAGCCCTGTTGGCATGCGTTGGCACATCCAAACCCCATGGGTTGTGCCAAACGAGCCGTAGGGATAGAGGATCCAGGGGAGCTGCTCGCAGACGACCTCTCGAACAGTGTCTAGCCCATGCCGTCTAGTCCTGAAGAGGTTTTCGCTGCCTGATTGTTGCCTCCAGGTGTGGCAGCTTGGTGGGCATAATCGATCTCGTCGTCGTCCGTAACAGTCTCCATGGGTGGAGCCTGGTTCGACTCCGTTCCGACCGCAGTTGCAGGCGGAGCACCGAATGGGTACATAGCCCTGCGTTGCTGCAGCTTGGTCTCGAGGGTAGCTTGTCGGGGATCGTTGACCTCCACACCGCGGTTCTCGTAGGGTGCGACTCGTGGTGACGTAGAATGAAGGCGAGCCAAGCGTCCGGTAGTCGGTGATGCCTGAAAAGGGCCTGGATCCGTCTGCATGTGGGCATGTGCCCCATACAGCTCGCCCGTCTTGGTGGTTGGCTCGTATCCCGGAGGCGGCGGCATAGGAGCTGGGGTCGCAGTGGTCCCTTGTGGCGGCTCCGTGTGTCCAAGGCCGGGACCAGGCATAGTCGGCCCCATCATGGAAGGATCCGTACCCGGTGGAACCATGTACCCGGCGGGCGGTGCAGGTAAGTGAGCCATCGCCATCTGCAAAAACCGCATCATCTGCTCTGGCGAGACAAGTGCTCCCGGAGCAGCTTCCTGTTGTGCAGTCTGGGCAGCTTTCCGCTGTGCTTCCTCGGCAGCAGTCAAGGCATCTTTGAGAAAGCCCGGCTCCAGATCCGGCTCGTTGTCGTTGAACAGTTCTTCCCAAGCCGTACTTGTTTCCATTGGAGCCGGCTTTGCAGTGATCCCTTGGACGGCCAGGGTTTGCACTTCCGTGGCGGCTGTCTGCCCTTGCTGAATCATCGCTGCGATTTCGGTGTCCAGCTTCTCCAAGTCCTTTCGGAAACGTTTTTCCTCCTCGATGAAATCGGCCTTGGCCTTCTTGGCAAAGATGGACCATTGTTTCTCCTTCTTGACTCGTTCCTCCTGAAGTCGTCTCACCTTGGTATCCGCACGGCGTGCGGTGGTGACTGTCTTCTGGATAACCTTCATGAGCTCTGAGCTGCCACTGCCAGAGGCTTGGGCCTCCTCCACGGGCTGTTGCCGAGTGTTGGCACCACGTTCCGGCACTTGAATCGCATCGTACCGGGCCTTGACAGCTTTGTTCTTGGGCGAGGCATTGTATGCTCCTGGCCACAACCGCCAAGGTCGCGAGTCTTCGGCACCACTTTTGTCCCATTTGTCGGAGCGCCATCCCTGCTGGTAGTCACGGCCGTGGTTGTAGTCTCTCTTACCACCCATAGGCCAGAAGTCCAGCTCTCGATAGAGGGGACGGGAGTGGTGCTTGCTAAGCTCCACAGCGGCAGTCAGAGCAGGCGGTCCTTGCCTGGCTCTAGCCCTGTGGATGGTAGTGCGGAGCCGCGCTCTGCGACGCCGCTGTTTCCTGTGCCAAGCAGGGGAGCGAACCTTGATGGCTGGCTGTCTACGTGCTCTTTTGAGCACTGGGGTCCGGGCAATACCTCCCACCAGAGAGGTTCGATCCTAGACGCCTAATAGTATAGGTAGTAATTTAAGCCCCTATAGCAGTTGATAAGTCATATAAGTCATAACTGAAAAGCCTTCTTAGCACTGCCCTAAGGGTCTAAGTACCTAATAATCAGATACTCCCCCAAAATGTAGAGCTACATAACTACTCTCCTAAACCCAAGTACCTCATTATTGGGTCCTTCTGCTGATGGACAAAATCCTGCATTACTCACTATAAGGAATATACCATAGTTCCCAAAGTTTAGAGTCCTTAGGGTCATGCAGGATTTTGTCCATCAGCAGTATATCACGCACCATCAATAACTAAAAGTGTACACTTTTGTAGGGCTACCTGTGGGCGCTTTCCAGGGGCTGTGCCAAGGGTCCAAATGTGCCAGGGCCGAGGCAGGGCTGGAGAAGGGTTTAGGGTTTAGGGGTTTTAGGGGTTTAGGGGTTTAGGGTTTGGGGTTTAGGGGTTAGGATTTATAGGGTTTGGAGGGTTATTTAGGGTTTAGGGAGAATGGAAACGAAGTCCCGTGGCGAGGCGCTAAGAGGATCGTAACAGTGGTTCAACGGTTTAAAGCTAAAGAGAGCTCCTTTCCGGTTGCGGCCCCCAGCTCTTGAAACCAGCATGTTTGCAACAAGAAGCGACATGAGTCTGGTGCCTCTACGGCTTCGTGCCTGCAGCTCCCTTCAACAGCTACCGAAGAAACATCTGCAGCACATCTAACACAACATCATTCAGAGGTGGGGTTCTGATGTTTTATCCCTAAGAGTCCAAGTACTTAACAATCATATACTCTCCCAAATGTAGAGCTACATAACTACTCTCACAAACCCAAGTACCTCATTATTGGGTCCTTCTGCCCCTTAACCTCAAAACACCGTTTTGGCATGAAGTAGGGTTTCAGTGTTTTGCAAAATCTCGCTGAGACCAGGGCCGAAAATTCCAGCCTGCGTCCACAACACGACAGAGGGTGGGGTTGGGGGTCTGGGGTCTGGGACTTGTCTAGGGCTTAGACTTGAAGCTTTGGTGCTTGTAGGTTCGTGCGTGTTTTGGGTTTCGGCTTCGGGGATGCGACTCCGAAGGGTGCCATGGTGAGGAGACCCTGACACAATAATTGGTAATGATGTCAGTGTAGAATATCGGGGCCTTAATAATTAGAATAGGGCCTGGGCGTATATTATACTATAATATAATAAGGAGTCCCAAAAATAGTATCGGTAATGATGTCAGTATACATTGTTGTGGATACAGCGCAGTAGACTTATTTTGGAACTATAAAGGGACACTATTACTGCTTATTCGGAACCCAGTGCTAATCCTGTGTAGAACCGACCGTGGAAGGTGCAATGCATCATACCACAAGATGAATTTCGACTCTGGCGATTCATGACGTGATATAAACTGCCCTGCACGAAGCCATCATAGTGCGATGCCTGCCCCTCAACAGCTCGCATGAGTCGAGGGGTGGATTATTGGCCTGGTCTCTCTGTACCCTGAATCCACCACCCATGACTCCCAAACCTCATCCTCAAGCATCCCCAAGCCCTATCGAAGCTGTGAACCTCAACACTTAACCCTAAATCCTTCAAGTCGCGTTTCTGCTTCTCTAAAAATAGTAGTCGAGACCACATGAACCATCCATGAGGGCTTTGGGCTCAGGGTTAAGGGGCAATTACTTGAAACTCTAAATCCTAAACCAAACCACTAAACCCTAAACCCTAAACCCTAACCCTAAACCCCCTGAACCCCTTAACCCCAAAATCCTACACCCTCAACCCTGCGAGTTCGCTTCTGTCTGGCCTTCAGCTCGTGCTGGCCGGCGAGAAGGTGGGGCTCGTAACCGCCAGGCGTAACCAGTGCTACACCTAAGCAGGGCCCTGATATACCTATGTTACAGTCTC